TGATTTTAATAAGCAGCAAAAGCTTCCTTCTCCCTCACTGCTGCACTGCATTGGAATTCAGTGGTGATTCAGATAGATACAGCAAGACGTTGGAGAGGTGTTATCACACCAGCTTGTAGAAACCCACAGCAAAAAGCCCGGTATTTATATTCCACTATTTTTTTTAAAAAAGTGAAGTAGAAGAGCTTCAATGAAAACGTACCATCTCCATGCAAACAAACTCAGATACGTGATAAATGATGTTTAGCTCAAGCTGCAAGAGCTGTGCAATTATTAAACAGGTGCTTCTCTCTAAATATCAAGAGTTTTAGCACCTTTTAAATACATTACAAGCCAAAAATGAAATCTTCCCAAGCCATCAGCAAGCAGTATATGCAGCTCCAAGGTCATGAATCTGTCAGGTGCAAAAAATGCATGCAAGGGATGGAGGAAGCAAAAAAAATCTTAAAGGTAAAGTTCTAGATTTCATTGTCATGCATCCAACTCAGCTCTCCCCGCCCCTGCAAAAGGGAGCAAGACAAACTTGATGGCTTTATAAACTAGATGCTCATTCATTCACTTCCACAGAGCCTGCTGGGGGAACAGAAGGCAAATAGCCCTCCAGCCCCTGGGCCACTATTAAGAATAACTCCTGACATGAGGGAATACTGCAAACAGCTGTAGATGATCCTAGCAAAAGTAGGCGCTCTCCTTTTTAGTACAATGTCTCACAATATAAAATCCCTTTGCTATAAATCACCCAGGTGCAGAACTAGCCAAAATCTATCAACAATTTAAGAAGTAATACTATATGGGAAAGCAGAGAACAAGATGCTCTAACCAGGGGGAGGATGATTTTATGGATTTTGAACCAGAACAGGTCACATGAGATCAGGGATCTGTTTCCGGCCATGCCACAGAACATCCTAGAGACCTTCAACAAGTTGTTTGTACCCACCTGTAAAATGGGGATAATACCTCCCTTCTCCTACCCTCCATCTCTTCAATATTTAGAGTCAAAGGGTTAACTTTCAAGGCCTTTGGGACAGGGACAGTGAGCCTATATGTCTAACACCGCAGCGCCCCTATCTCAGTTTCTCAGTTGCTTCTGGTCAACAGGGCCATTGTATCATGTACAGGAATAGCACTAGAAAGAGATTTAAAAGGATTTAATTTAAGACAGATCTTGGCCATCTGACTTCGGGAGAGAATGGAGAATACAGCTGCCATCATGTACATGAGGAAGCAAGGCCTTTCCAAGAAGCTGAATGGCGAGCTCTGTGATTTATATCACTTAATGCTAATTCCTCTGAATGGAAAAAATTCTACCAGACAGTGGAAAGGCCAGAGCTACGACACAGATAAGAGCACTGGCCAATGAGGAAGCAGCAGGTTTCCAGGATGAGGATGCTGAGATGGATGTGTGGAGTCAGCAGAAAAGGTCACGAGAGAGACGGGGAGCTTCAAGAAGTGGCAACAGTGGCTCGGCACTTTGCAGGGTCCCAAGTGACTTGACCCCAGTCATGCAATGAGCCAGGAGCAGAGCCCTGATCTTCTGAATACCGGGTTTCTACCCTCACCACAAAGCCATCCTCTCTCTTGCACATTAAGGCCACATGAAGCGAAGCAATGTCCATTTTGGCCATGAATGTGGACAAGCTCATAGCTGAAGAGGGGCCCCTTGAGGGACATGCTGGGGCAATGTCTCATCCTGAGGTGCAGTGTGGTATTCACTCGTACTAGGGTGAGGGGCAGGAGTGGCTTGATACTAATCAAGAGCTTTGTGTGGGGACTACCCAACAGAGACTGGAATCTGAAGGCCTTGGCTTTGGCATGGCACATGGCAACCTTAGCCACGTATACCAGGAAAGCTCCACACACTGACCGTCACGGCACAGGGGCTAGTCCCTGGGGTCTCTGTCCCTTCTTCCAAACAGGAGTCACATTGCAACCCTCTGCAGCATCAGCCCTCACCTTGATCCAGTCACTCATACCTCAGCAGGCCCCTCCGATGTTGGTTTGTGTGGGTTGTCCCCATACCCATCTTTCTTTTATAACCGAGTCATTCATAAGCCCCAAGGCTTCCAGTATAAACTAAAGCAGCAAAAAAGACCCATCTTGACTGGCTTTTATGAGATGGCTGGACCACAGTTCAGGATCTGACAAAAAAAGGTTGTTTCATTGTCTCAGTTGTGGCTCAGTGTTGTATTAGTCTCCATAGGTTTGGTCAGACCCAGCAAAGCGAGCGACATGTCCCAACGTGGGCAGAGAGAGGTAGGCAGCATTGTTAGTCTGAAGTCAGGCCAAGTAGTAATGCACCTCATAGACTAACTGAATCAGAGATGTCTGCGCTTTCATACATAAGAGCTCATATGGGTAACATGCAATTAAAAACCTCAAGTTGTGGGCAGCTTGGAAGACAGAAATCTATTTTTAACTTGCTTCTGTTACTCCATCATAGTAATTTATTCTTCAAACAAGTGGAAGACAGAAAAAATAACCCCTTATTAACTGACTATCATGACTCGGGTCCTATAAATGAAGATCATCATCATGGTGTCTCAGAACCTCTACATGCCTGATAAGAGCCTGATTTTGCCTTCAGTCCCCAAGGAGAGGCCAATTAAAAGAAAACAGCACTGTCTCCGGTTGACGGGCAAATTCATGGGCTCGATTTCTTTTAGTCACACATCAGAAGTAATGCCACTGAACCCAAAGGAATTACAACAGGGCAAGTGAAAGAATCAGTCCTGTGGGCTTGGAAAAAGTCTTGTAAGGTTACAAACCTGTCCTGGTAGAGTTTGCAAGCAAAACCGATCAGAACCATCGAGTGCAGGCAGGAAAAGAAAGTAACTCACAATGCACATGGTACCCCTCTCCATTCCAGCAAGGAAGAGCCCGATATGATCTGTTCATCTGACCTGAAATGCACAGAACTTTCCTTCCCGACTGCTAAATAACCATCACGTCCAAGCAACAGGCGACTCACAGTAATACTGTAGAAATTAGCATGCGCCCCAGCAACAAGAGTCAATCTGGTAGAATGTGGTAGAGGTTCTTCCTCTTTAGCTGCATTTTTTTCCAAGTTGCTTTTTTAAGGTACAGTGTTATAAAGCTGTACTGAATTTTCAACAAACAAAGCAACTTCATCACGGAAAATGAGCCTTTTGCTTTATTACTGGCCTAATTCAAAGGCAGCTTGTGCTAATCCAAACTGGTGCTGGAATACCAAAGGGGGAAGTGGGAGAGAGAAAGCAATCTCCCAGTGGGAATTCAAAAGTCAACATGGAAAGGTGGCAGATTGCCAATCAATCTGCAAAACGATTGTCATAAGCCAAGATTTAAGGGTGTGCTAAAATCATTCATGCACATAAACAGCAGAATTCCCTCTCTCTCTCTCTCTCCCTCACGTACACACATGGCCAATTAGTAAGCAGCACAAATCAAGCGCACAAATGCAGCACCGGTTTGAATTAGAGCAGTGGGATTATGCATGCAGTTCATGATGTTAATATTTACATTTCCATGTAACGCCACTGTCAATGGTTCCCCCAGTGTCCTGACCTGCCACCCTCTGCTCCATCTAGCCACAACCCCTCATGCTGGAAACAGAGAGATGGGAAGGGTGTCAGGACCCCAGAATTAGAATCCATGACTTAGATCACCCAGCATCTTGGTGGTTCCTAAAAAATGATGTTACCAGCAAAAGGTAATAACAGAGATGCCCCATTGCAATAGACCGAGTCTGCTGCACTGGGGGAGATGGAGGAGTCCCGTGCAGTCCATGTCTCACCTCTGGAATACAAGGAGCCCAATATTCAAAATACAGCTGCCTTAACAGAACATCAGCACTCCATTAACCTGAATGGGCACAGCCAGTCACAGGGAAAATAAACAGCATGGGACCCAAGGATGACCCATTCAGAGAATGGAGACATGTAAACTAGATGGTCTTATAAGGGCCCAACTTTTGGAAATGTGCAGACTGCAGAAACATCTTGATGACCCTTGATCCTAACTAGACATGTCAGACACTGCTATATGGCCATGTACGGGGCTTGCCACACAGGGAACTTGAGAAGAAATGGGAGCTCTGGTACAGGAAAGAGGTGAAGGTACCAGTCTATCTTCCCTTGAAGGCCTGGGTTCAACCCCAAGCTCAGGTCACAGGTAAGAATGGGTGGGCTCAGATCTGCGTCCCATTTGCCCACAGCCCAAAACTGACATGTGGCTCAATACAATTGGCAGGGTAGATTTTTTCTAAGACCCAGTGACAGCAGGCCACCGGTTTGAAAGGCATTGGAGTACCTGCCTGGAGCATCTGGTACAGGGTGAAATTTTAGTCTTATTATAGTCAACAAGCATTGTGCCACTGATTTAAAATGGGGCCAGTGTTTCACCCAGGAAGTATCATTTACACATTTCCTAATTGTTGAGATGGGTTTGAAACCAGCCAACAAACCCAACCTGGAGGAAGCTCAGACTTGGATGCAAATATGTACAGCCACCTGGCTCCCACCCTTCTTTACAACAAACTGGCCCAAACACCCAGATCCATGCACCCTCCAACCTTCAGTAAGATCTGGATCAAAATCTGAAGTGGAGAGGGGTAACTCAGATGCAGATGCCACAATGGTGGTATGACATAAGAACCTGACAATTAATTAAGCCCCATATCTCCCAAGATGCCTGCACACAGCAGCAGAGCAGCTAGGAGGTCTTGCAAACCTCTAGAAGCATGAGCTAGAGCACTACCCTAGGCTTGTGCTGAAGGCTGTCCCCAGTTGACCCAGATGTAAATGGGCACTTGGCCATTCAGGCTGGGGAATCAAAGGCGGCTAGACACGGTGCTAGCCACAACACTCTCTTGGACACCAGTAACAGCAGAGTCTGGGGTGCTTTAATCACACTAGCCCATTGTGACATTTGGCTTGGGCCCACCTTCAACTTTCTGATCTCACAATCTCCAATTCCATTACAACTATCTGCAAACACAGCTGAATTAAGCACGGCTCCCCTACCGCTACAGGTCTGTTCCCCAGGAAATTCAGGTCACTGTTCTCTCCGAAGAGGTAGCCCTCAGGATGCGTTGAGTCAAACTTCTCACCTCCCATGATGAAGTGGTTGGCAAAGTAGCTCCCTAGAAAGAAGGACAGGGAAAAAAAAGAACACAGAAGCTGTCAAAGGCACTGAACAGCACAGGAAAACTACAGTAATTCAATCCACTACCCAGCTCCAGAAGCATCTCGGCCATTTTCAACTCCGATACTCATTCCCATGATACCACTTGAGGCAATGACACTTTGCAGAGGGAAAGTAGCAATATTAACACACTGAATCAAGACTCTCCAGTTCTGCTTTGTTTGTAACATCGCTTTGCATGCATCCCCTTGACTAGAGATACCTAGGAAGCCAATGCTTACACTCATAACCCATGGGAGACCTGGTAGATGCTTCTCTATCACTAAGGGGTGATTTTGTGAACAAAAGACCTGGGCTTCATGCTGCTCCCAAGGGTGGGAAGCACCAGCTATTTGTTCTTAAAGGGGAAACCTTACCATGTGCCCTAGATTAGACAGACAGAACTAAGTTAAAGAAAACTTAAGGCTTGATCCCATCACCATTTTGACAGCTCTCTGAGCAGGGTAACTTATTTAGGACATTTCCCCAACAGGCCTTGCAACTGAGCAGTGCTCTCCACTTGCTCCAAACAAGACAGCAAAGACAGACAAAAGTCCCCTGGAGCTGGGGCTATTAACAAGGTACTTCCTTGAGCACTAACCCCAGTCTGATTGTTCTCCATCAGGCCACGCACACCCCACCCACCAGCAAACATATGGTCACGTTCTCTCTCTGCTTGAGACATCAAATATTCCCACCTCTCTCACTCCCCTACCTGAAGAAGAGTCAGCTGCACACCCACAGCTCAGCAAAACCTACTTAATGGCTTTCCCACCACTTGCTAAATCAGGAAAGGTGCATCAGGCTAACACAGTCAGCCTGGACAGGTACTCTGAATTGCTGACGGTGAGACTGAATGGCTCAGCTCCCCCACTGGAAAGCACTGGGAACCTGGCAGCTTCCAAGCTGCTCTAAGACGCATATGGTTCAGTCATTTCAGCAAAGCCACTCAGCTCTCTCTTCCCCTGCGTTTAAAGGGACAGGAGCCCCTCGGTCACCCTGCTGGAAGCTTCCCCTCTTTTGGCTTTGTTTAATTTAGTTTTATTTCAGATGCAATTAAGGGAACTAGAGAGGCAAAAGACACAGCAAGAAAACAAACTGGGCTCTTGCAGATTTACAGCTATATCCATTGCATGCACTGCAACACAGAGGGGGAAATAAAAAAAAAGGCATCAGTCTGAATGGATGGATCAGATGCAGTGGCCCACAGCCCAACATAAAGGCTAGGCGTGTCATTTAATGCCATCAGGGACTTAAGTGAGGTTTAAATATTGCTTAGACCAGTGATTTTCAAACAAGGTGCGAGAGCAACCTGGGGTGCTGTGTGATTTTTTTTGAAGGGTGCTGTGTGATTTTTTTGAAGGGTGCTGTGAGGTGTGAATTGATGAGTGCAGGCTCAGAGTCATCTATGCCTGGCTACCACCCTGTCCCCACTGCCCAGCCCCTCCTCAAGGAGGCAGGCACTGTAAAAAATTAGTTTTTGAAGTGGGGTGCTGCTCAGTTCCCAGATGCTATGAATGCCTTAAGTCTCACAAGGTAGAGAACCACTGGCCTAGAGCTTGCACTTGCCTTCTGCAGAGAGGGGACCCACTTCAGCCCACTTATCACAACTGCAGCTCTCCTATGAAACCAAGCCCCAGCTCTCCAGGCAAATGCTGATCCCATCTGCCCTGGTTTGCATCTTTGGCTCAGCAGGCCGGTGATTTCTCACCTACAAACTGGCTTGATTTTGAAGGTTAAGGTACTGCTTTGATGAGTCAGTTGATTTCCTTTGCCACTGGCTGCGGGGGTCTTCCTTCATCCCAAAGGAGCCAGACCCCGAGATCCCTAGTCAGATTTTACTGAGGGCACTGTTTGCAAGTGCACCTAATTGACTTAAGAGCCTGAGTCATTACTTGGGTAAATCCTCAACAGAGGCAGCAGGCTAGCCTTTGGATTGAGGGGAAATCGATTTCAGGAACTGGCCCTTTGAGCCAAAACACTGACACCCTCCTTCAGGTCAAACAAAGCTGTAGCCACCGCACTTAGATCCAGTGTGGGCTGGCAGGAGCAGAGAGCCTCCAACAAACAATGAAGGAAGACAAGCGTGATGCTGAACTGAAGAATCACCAGCAAGCAGACAGACACAGATCAGAGACATTTTGGGATTAGGAAGAGAAATGCTAATCCTTTTAATAAGCTTTATTTAATTTCCAAGGCTGCTAGAGAAGACGGTACTAGAAGCTCACATGCATGCACATACACACATATGCACATGCATGCGTGTACACACATACAGGGATATCTCCAGAAGAGGAACTGAAGGAGTGGAAGCATTCAGAGTTCAGCATCTGAGTCAGCTTTGCCCTGACGAGCCACTGAACACTGCTAGCATAACTGCCACCAATAAGGGACTACAGTACATTGAGGAAACTGTAAAGGTTGGGTCTCATTCTTCTAACACAGGGGTGTTCAGCCCCCAGCCCTATGGGCCAGATCCAGCCCCCAGTGCCTTGTCATCTGGTCTATGGGGGGGGGGTCCCCCAGATCCGTGGGCCATGGTCCTGCGAGCTTGATCATAGAATCACAGAGAAGTCGGGCTGGAAGGGACCTCCAAAGCTCATCTAGTCGACCCCCAGCCTGAGACAGGATCAGCCCTATCCAAACCACCCTATATCAATCCATGATCTAACCTCTTAGTAAAACGACTGTGAACCCTGACACAACACAAGACAGGACACCCTAACCTGCGAGGGGTAAAGCAGGGGGAGCACAGCAGCCAATGACCTTCTTCTCTAAAGGTTGTTAATATACACGCAAGAGATCCCAGGTAGAAGGCCATGCCCCCTGCTACAGAGGAAGGCAAAAATGCCCACAGTTCAATGTGACCATGGGATTGTACTGGCAGGGCAACACAGGGCCTGATCCCAGCTGGGTGGGTGTGGGATCCTGGACCACAGGAAACAGGTGCCGATCTGGCCTATGGACTGGCCATGCGCCATTCATCTGACCCGAGTCATCTGACTTGAGTGCCACTGTCCTAACACTACCGCTGACGTCAGTCAGGAGTTGTGCTATTGTAACCGACTGCATTAAGCCTGGCACAGGATCAGAATCAGATCTGATGCAGCTGAATAGAGTCTTCTTGGTTACAAAGGTCACTGCCACCTGCTAGCAACTTGACGCTCGACAGGCTGGATGGCAGAGAGCTGAAGTGAGTTCTGCTAGTTCTCAGCCAGCTGTATTCTCCAGCCCCCTCCCCCTCCCCTTCCAAGCCACAACAAACGTAGATCAAAAACTAAAAAACTAAGGCCCAAAACACTTTTATTCTGCTGCCCCCAGCAGGGGCTCTGTTGGGGTCTGCAGCAAGTCTTCAACATGTCCCATGCAGGCCCACCCTAGGACCCACTCAGGATGTCAGTGGGCATCTGCATCTTCTGGACATGCTGCAGATGAAGGTCTAAGATAAAGTGAGCAATTTTCCAGGACAGTCCCAACTTCCAGGGCTGCATCGCAGCATCCCCAGAGTCCCCAACATGGGACTTCTGTTCTAAATTTGAAAGACTGGCCCTGAATTGACTGAACACTCTCCTAAAGCCAGGCAGTGTCCCGGTATAGTTGCCAAAAGGAGGCAGTACAATTCACCACCTAGACAACTTTGTGCTGCCTCTCAGCAGAACTAGCCAGCCTACCCACAGCACTGACAGGGAGCAATAGGAACTGGGACCAGCAGTAGCATTTACTGCTTCTGGTTTGGGAGATCCATGGAGCTGTGACCTGGATTTTGCTCCCTAATCAAGTCCAAGTCATGATGGAGCCTTGACATAAGGTTGCACTTCTGCGCGTTTGACAGTTGCAGTGTGAGCACGCGAGGTCATTTTTCATTAAGTAAGCGCACCCTTCAACTGACACACTGCATGCATGAGCAGTTAGCAGTGTGTGCAGTTTTAAACCTATGATAGTAAGTGATCTCATTTAGAACAGCTGGGATTCCATCACCTCCCCGCCACACGCCAACTTGGCTTGTTTGATCAACCCGAGATTTAAAATTCAAGTTAAGTTTGAAGATTAGTGCCATATTTTCAAAGCCTTGGAATGGTATTCACTCCTACATACTCATTTAGGGGCACATAGTCGCATGCTTGTATACATGGGTGCATGTGTCCTGTAACAAACACTGATCAAGTTTGACTAAGCAAGATGTTTTTGAGGGCAAAAAAATGGAGGTACCCAATCCCACACCAAGTTTCAATAGTAGATGGGTACCTAACAACCTTTGCAAATATTCGCTCGAGCCAGCAAGCACTCAGTTGGCCAGCACACAAGCAGGTGCTAGCTTGCTTATACAAACTAGTATCTCTATTATGAATGGGCCTTGCCTCAAGGTGAAAACTGAGGAAGTTAATGACAATGTAAAGCAATACGGTATTACAGAGTCACACTTAAACGCTGGAAAATTGGAAAAGGCAAAATTATGCATTAGCCCTATGATTGTGTGTGGACATTACGCAACTGTGAATCACCCCAGACACCAGTACATACTTCTGGCTGTTGAAACATGCAGGGGCCAGCTACCTTTCACCAAGAGCAGACCAAATGAACACAGCTTGGTCCTATGGTGGATCTGGCCCATGGGCTGTAGGTTGCTGACTCTTAATCTAAGAGATGCTATTGTACTGATGCTAAGACTATTGCAAGGCATAAATGCCGGGAGAGAGATTTCAGGTAAAACGCAGCACAGTGTCACAACAGGGCACTGGGCTGGGACTCTGGAGACCAGTGCTCTACTCCCAGCTGTGTCTTGAAAAGCCCCTTCACCACTCCCCACTCCCTGGATCTACTGGTAGAAGCAAAGTCAATAATACAATTGCTTCTCCAACCTTAGCTGCCAGGCTCTAACTGCAGAGGTTGCTTTGAAACCGTTAGCACCAATCCTGCACTAGGCCCCACACAGGTGCAGCGTCTCCTGGACCTTCGTAT